ACCTTTTTTTTTTTTTTTTTTTTTTGAAACATGAAGTCAGAACATAATCCTAGTAGTTCAAATTGCCTGAAAAAAATCTAGGAAAATCCACCTGTTCAGTTATTCAAGATGAGAGCATCGAAAATGTTAAAGATTTTGATGGATACTGTTTCAGCAATGATCTTCAGTAAGTTTTGTGTTAATATACTCTTCCATTTTCTTGAGACCACCTGCCTTTCCCCTTCCTTGCTAGATTTAAGCAGTATAATTTGCTATGTTGTTCTTCTAGCTACAGTTACTGGCAGCTAATGAGACTGCTTTATGGAAGCACGTGCTGGAAGGATGGAAGCAAGATGGGAAGGCAGGAAGGCTTCCACACATGCTTTTTAACCCCTGTTGTGTACATCTCCAAAATTTGGACCAAACACCAAAAAATCACTGCTGGCCAACTGCAGCACGTGTTACCTCACTATAAAATCTGAGCAGTTGTTCACAAGCTTTCATACAGCCCACGTGGCTCTTGCACATTCCATCCGTTTGGGAAAGCATCTGCCTGCAGTGCTGAGGTCAGCGTCAATGCCTGAAAGGCTGGGTAACCTCAGAAAAATGTGTAACAGATGTGGGAAATTAGTATGACAAAATATGAAAACAATTTGCAGTGATTTACAGCTTTATTACAGATCTGTCATAATTTTGAAAGTCAAATCTTCAGAAATGGGGTGGTATTAGACAACGCAGTAAATCAGGTTCTAAATTCAGATGGGGATGTTCCCTAATACAGTAAATACAGATTTGATCATTTCAATATAACATTTTTTCCTTAGGTATACATGGCAATAGGTACATACGGGCATCAGCATAGCTTATCTTTCTAAACTGGAATGCCATCAATTTAAGTTTAAATTTCTAAATTTTACAGTTTTGTAACTTTCAAATGTTGCATAGCTTAGTTATTAGACATGAAGGTCAGTTTTTCTGAATACATGCCCGACAGAGCAAAGGACTCATATTTTTGATGATGTCTTTAACACAAGAGATTTATATCCTAAAATATAGCATGTTACTTAAGATATATTTAAATTAGTTTTGGAGGGTTTGCTATCTTTGCAGAAGTTCTTTTTCTTGCAAATTTGTGTTCCTTGACTGCACCAGTTGCATGTGGATGCCCAGCTATAGTTGTTTCATTCTAATTTCCACCTAACTTTTGAACCCACTTGCCATTTCTACCACTAGACAAGAGCACTTCCAGCATTTCAAAGAACGCGGCAGTCAGGTGGAGGAGAGAGATCCTCCTGAGCTCCTGCCATGCCAGGTCAGGTGCTGGCAGGCACCAGAGCATCTCCTGATGGAGAGGCCGCACAAGTGCTCAGTCTGCAGAGAAGCTTTGATGAGAACATGCACCAAACCCAACCAACCTCCAGACCAACCCTTTTCCTCTGCTCTGGTGCTCACAAATCTGCTGGTTATCATTCTAAAAGTAACTCTGAAGGCTGTTTTTTCTATCAGAGGTTAAGCTAATTCAAATCATGCCTATCATACTAACTATTTGGGATTCTTCTCAGGAAAAGCCATAAATCAGTTTATGTGCACCATGGCAGCACTGCCCATGCTAAATTCTGGCCTTTGGGATGGGAACAAGTAATAGACTTACTGAAGTAATCACTTCTGGAGACAGCCAGGCTGCATTTCAGTCTAATGAATGTTCACATTAACTTCCACATGATGTTGATATAAATCTGTTTGGTTCAAACTGGAAAACTCTACTCCAATCATATATCACTTGTCATTTTATTTTTTTTAAATTTTTTTTTAGAAATATCCCTTGCAATTTAAAATACAATATATCTACTATGAAACTATATAGAACTTCTATTATATTTACTGAGGGAAGCTTAACAAGTTGCTTGCTTTCAGAATTTATCTCCCTAGTAGAGTCTAAAACAATACATTCACAAATAAAATACCACCAGAGCCACTATTGCCATATATCCTTGTCCTGGTTCAGCTAGGATAGAGTTAAGTTTCTCCCAAGCAGGAGGAAGGGATCTCCAGCCAGGTTATTATCATTATCCCATGCTGAGGTCAGGTCTGGCACGGCAGCGCGGGAAGCTTTTTCCTTTGTGGCTTTGGTCCCGGGGAGCAGGCGCGCAGGCTGGCTGCGTCCATTGTGGTATTTCTCTGTGTATCTTTTGTCTTGTTTACTGTTATGACTGTTTATTGTTGTTATCATTGCTACTGTTGTTGTTCAGATTGTTATTTATCACACTGTTGTATTAAATCTCTTTTTATTTCAACCCCCGAGGTTTGTGCCTCACTTCCAGCCTGAGCAGCTGAAGGTGAGGGAGGGGCAACAGCAATGTGGTCTCTGGTCCCTGCAGGGCCTAAACCAACACAGTCCTCTAAATACTGTGTAACTTCAACCAAACAAAACAGACAAAGCCCATCAGATCAGGGTGCCTGAGCATGTGGGTATGTACCTGAAGAGAATGTAGGATTTTAAGAGTACTAACTACAACACTTGTATCAGGGAGCAGAGTCCAAAGACAAGACAATAATCGAAACTGGGAAATGAGAAGCTGGGTATTGTTCATTCAGATGCAAGTACTATGAACAGCTAACCTTGTGAAGAGATCTATAGATGATGAAAAATGGCCTCCAAGACCAGAACTTTGTCCAGATGACAGTTTCTTGCATTGTCAGCTCTGAAATGAAGTCTTTGCAGAACAAAAATGAATGCTGAAGAATTTACATTGTAATTTTTTTTTTTTTTTTTTCATTATTTGAGATTAAAAAGCTAAAAACATTCCTATAGCAACGTGAGACAGGAGTTTGAGTTATATTCTGCATTTAAGTGTTTTAAGTAATACTGAGTGGCATATATAACAAACTTTCCTGACACATTTTTAGGCTGAGAGCAACTTCGCAGCATTCAAAGTCAGGACACTGCCTACATGTTGGGTTATACTGCTGTAAGAGATAGGTTCAATTAAAGTTATCTATGGATGTAAATGAATTTTCAGGAATTCTTGTCGAGGCTGAAGGGAGACCTTATCACCCTCTACAGCTACCTGAAAGGAGGTTGCAGAGAGCTGGGGATGAGCCTCTTTAACCAAGTAATAAATGACAGGACAAGAGGTAATGGCCTCAAGTTGCTCCAGGGAAGGTTTAGACTAGATATTAGGAAGCATTTCTTTCCAGAAGGGGTTGTTAGGTGTTGGAATGGGCTGCCCAGGGAGGTGGTGGAGTCCCCATCCCTGGAGGGGTTTAAGAGTTGGGTTGGCATAGCGCTGAGGGATGTGGTGTAGTTGGGAACTGTCAGTGTTAGGTCCATGGCTGGATTGGATGATCTTCAAGGTCCTTTCCAACCTAGATGATTCTGTCATTATTTATACAGAAAAACACTTAAATAGGAAATTTAAGGAAACATGTTAAGCTATGTCTATTCTCTTCATTGTTTTAGGTAAACTAACCTCAAACTTTCTAGGCATGTCTATGGTGCAGTTTTGAAAATCAAATGCACTGCACTACACAGCACTGGAACCATCATGGATACAACAGTCTAACCCACACTATAGTTACCAGCATTGCAGGGGATCCAGATAGAAATGACTTGGTTGTAATCGCCTTCAAAAAGGTTTAGAGCAGATCAGTCTTCTTACCAATTGTCCCCATACCGTCAGAACACTGGCTTTCCAAAGCAAAGCTCTCCCTAACAACTGGCCTACTACAGCCTTTGAAAATGATTTTTAACCAGCACACTGGGATGTCTGTAGCTTCTCCTTCAGAAAGTCCCAGAGGCCCTGCACACTGTTTATATCCAGCTGATGCAGCAGCAGGTACAGCTCCCATTCCTGGAGTTTTGCCACTGCTGTCTGCGTCCTGCATAAGCTACAGCATCCCCAAGAACCTGCCTCCACTGAGCTCTCACAATTGTGAATCCAATTTCTTTATTGTCTCATGTCACAAGAGCTATTGCATTGCCAGGTTTGGGCTTTTTTTGGCTAATAAATTTCAAAGTAAAAATGGTAGTCACACACTGTAAAAACCGTAAATCATGCGTGAAAGTTTTATACAGTAGAACAGATCATTATTATTTCATCCTTTCCTAACCCTTACACAATAACCACTCAGCAAGCATGCCAGAAGCTGAAAGCAACAAAATACTTCACATACAGCGGACATGGGAGATAAGCAGGGAGGCAACTTAAAAAAAGACATAAAAAGGAAATTTGGTTGAACAATGCAAGCCCTGTCCAAAGATCCAGCCTGCCACACATACTGTACAGCCTGTTCTCTAATTCTGCTCTCAGCAAACAGCCCTGCCCTGGCAGTCTGCCCCACACAAGTCCCAGCTCTCTTCCTGGGACACAGTCCTCCCACCAGTGTCACTGGGGCATATGCTTCTCCCACAGAAGCTTCTTCCCGGGCCTAACTGGTCCTGTGAACAGCCAGTGCTTTCTGCCTCCTGTTTCCACTTCCTACAGCTGAGGCTGTATCCATCCACGCAGCTGATTGTTCTTCCTCAAGTACCACACCACAGCTGCAAAGTTTGTGAAAAGATCTGTCCTCTGTTCTTCTGGTATGAACAGAAAGAAGAAACTGTCTGTATGATCATCAGTTTCACCACAAGAAATGACATTTCTGATGATGACTACTTAGCCATCATCTTCCACCTTGCTTCCTTACCCTGCAACATGGTAAGTAGGTTTAACAAAGCTCGATACAAGATTTTGAAACACATCTTTTGTAAAACTTTCAAACTTATAATTTGTTTGGCTTGAATGTAAAAAAACCCCAGATCCTCAGTTAAATATTAAGAATGAGCTTTATGAAACTAAAGGGATACTTAGAAACTAATTTGTATTTAACAATGGATACTATCCAGCTACAGTACAGAGAGCTAGGACTTTGCACAAACCATAGAAAAGCTGGGTTGAGGTTTGTTTGGAAAGTTTGTTCATGCCAACTGGAAGGGCATGCAACTTTTGAAACTTAATGACTCAAGCAGCATTTTGCATATAAAGAACTAGGTACAATTCTCCACTGTTGGATTACATGCCTTAAAGTTGTACCAAATTATTACTAAATTGAAACGGCCATGTTTTATTTTGTTGAGATACCATTAGCACAACTAGAAGAGCATACACAAACCGTGGTTCTTTGTTGCACATCAGAACAACAGTCAAGTTACTGTATTAACTGGATGGCTTTTGGCACTATCATACTGTAGACAGTCTGTCAGTAGTACAAAAAAATGCATTAAAAACTTCATACAGGGATTTTGTAACTGATCTGTTGCCCTTAAACTAAAGGCCTCAGATCTTCTTCTGCACTGAGAATAGATTAACATGAGAACTTTTGGGCCAGCACTCATCTTGCTCTTCAGTGAGCTCTGGAGCATGACTCATTTGGCAATACTTGCATCTTCTAAAAACAATAGCTACTGTATCCATAAAAGACCAGCAAATAATCACAGCTTTGCTCCATGCTGGTAAGTGATTACCAAAATCACATATTATTTACATCCAATGTCTATTGATCCAAGGCTTCCCTGAACACAAACTGTACCAGGGGAGCCAATGTCAAACCCAGGCACCTAAGCCCCTTTGGCACCGTCTTGCTGACTCCTGATTAAGAATTAACACGTCTGTTGACAATTTGTCATTACTAATGACAGGTTTATAGTCCATTGTTTCCAGCTCTTTCAGCTTCTCCCAGCACAATGAAGAGGGCTGCAGTCTGCCCCTGCAGAGCACACCATGCCCTCCACAGAAGACTGGGCAGGGTCCCTGAGCCCCCACCACTGCTTCTGTGCTGGCTGGCACAACCTACTGGTGGAGAAGAGCGGCAGGGTTAGAGCCTGGAGATGACCAAACCCCGCCCCAGCACTCCAGCCCCCTGCAGCCAGCTGCCCCTGAGCCTGGGGCTGCCTCTGCTGCTACCCAGCTCCACCTCTACAGCTTGAAATGCCCTGGCAACCGTTTAAGATTAGGCATTCAAAATGCAATAACCAACATTTAGAATGTGAAAACAAATTTGGTGTTCTCCATGTCACTGCTTCCTCTTTTTGCTCAGATGACTTGTTTTGGATACCATGATAATTATGTATTTCAGTTCTATCCTGTAATAGTACTGTAACACAGTTCATTTTCTCTATGACAAGGAGAGCACTTAATCAGGTTTTTAATAGGGAAACTGCCTGTGCAATAAATGAACTGAATTTAAATTAGAGAAATACCTGAGGAATAGTTAGCTGTATCAGTTTTGTAGTTTATTTTCTCATTATATTAGTTGAAACATCACACATTCCAGTTACAAACTTAGATGTAGAAAATGAAAGTGTATTTTTAAACATTATATTTTTCTGTATCAGAATAAACCCATTGGATGAATACAAATCAGTAATGATTTATTGACATACATATGAATATAAGCCAACTGATAAAGTTCTATTGATGGTATGTCACTGCTATTTTTATTTTCATCTAATTCCATTTTGTACTAGTAACAAGGAATCTCTATGCAGCAGTGATCTGGTTCTGGTCTTACTAGCCTCTCCCCCAACTGGTCAGACTGTGGAACTCTGAACCCTTCCACTTTAAGAAACGGTGCACAACCTTAGGATGCAATTATGATCCCTTGAAAGATCTATTGTTCTGTGAAAGCATAAGGCACCTGCTTCCTCATCCCAACTCCATGTCAGAGATCTGTCTCAGGGGAGTGGGAGAAGGGCTGGCAATGATTTAATTAAGAGTAAATTCAGGTAAACAAGGTCAGGCACCTATACATTATGGCATCACCAAATTAGCCTGTGTCATCTGGGTTAGAACACCCACAAATCAGATTCTGGGCTACACAGTCAATGCTGTGAGCAGGCTAGTGGAGACTGTTAAGAAGTGTACCCTAGTGTAGACTTAATCCTAGAGGAGTACCGTAACTGTAACCCTTATTGTAATGATAAAGGACCCTGCTGCTGCTGCGGACAGGATGACATTGCTCTGACTAAATGCCCTACCAGGGTACAGGTTAATCCAATCATATTACCGCTTGCACAGGTCCACATACATAAGCTCACCAGGTTCGAACAGTTTTGTTACTAAGAAACTGGCCATGAGGACCATCAGAATCTGAAGGCAAAAGGGCCAAATAAACTGGGGTCTCAGCCCCTTCATCTGGTGATTTAGTGGCGTTAGGACCTGCCATGTCTGTTCTTACCCATCCAGGACAGCAGGCATTAAGGAGGATGTGGTCACCTTTTCTTTTCTCATTTAACATCCGGGCTTGAATCCTAGACAAGACTGTAACACCAATTTTGGATACCCCATAGGCAGTATTTGGCCAGCCTTCTTTCTCATGCACACTTTTCTTGGTATCTTCCACAAATTTGGTCATGAGTTCCACTAACTCATCCTCAGTGATCGTGTTGCTGCGAAACTTTTCCTGTAGTTCTCGGCTGCAGCCTCCCAGTGCTGAGCTACTTACCATACTAGAGACATTCACCACTCTACCTGGTGAAGGAAAATAAAGACTGATTACTTTTACACAAATTAAACAAGCCCAGACACTGAAATGGGCTTGCTCTACAGTTACCTATTCACTTCTTAAATGAAAGCCTGTAAAATATTTTGTGTAGGCTATTTTGCAGAGTTTCTGGAAGATCACAGTTAACTTAATGTCAAGTTTTTCCATTGAATTCTATTTCAGAGGGTAATTTAAGGTGTGAACCTGCAAAAGCACTCCCACACTTCAGGTATGCTTCCAGGAAATAGCCTGTTACAATCTGTAAGCATATTCATAGGGGTAAGGAGTTTTCTCAGTAATGGCATACAGACTCTACTCTCAAAGTTCCAGTGGAAAAGTCTCACTTCTGCAACAGCTAAAGTGCCGTGAGAATGTACCTCAAAAGCCAGAATAATACAGAGTTCAATAAAAGCCATCTAGTTCTCAATGCACTGATACCATCAGCTTGTTTACAGAATACCTGAAGATTTACAAATCCCAGCATGCAAAACTGCAGTAAACAATTAAATCTCCCACCACTTCAGTACCAAGGAACAAGTCAGCTGAATAAGTAATTCACTCATTTTTTCCAAAATAATGTTATACTGTTTCCTTATTTCTTGCTAGTTCACAATCATTCAGGCAATGAACTAGAGCAGTGGTTCTCAACTTATGGTCCACAAACCCCTGGGATGGGCTGCGATGTCAACACAGGGTCCATGAAGGCTTAAAGCAGGTGTGGAAGAGTGATGATGCTATTATTTCAAATTTATATGGAATCGTTGCAATAAAGATATCATAATCTGTAGATGTGTGCATTTACAGATTAATTTATTTCCCCTTCTCTCCAAATTTGAAGGCTCTTCATGAGAAAATTGAAATAAATATCTGACGCAGTCTAGCACTTTAAATCTTGAATTAAGTCTTGGTGGTCCGCAGCCGCAAAAGGTATTTTAAAGGGGATCTCTGGTGAAGGAAAGGCTGAGAACCCCTGAACTAGGGAATCAACATAAGAATTTAGATCTTAAAAGCCACTAAAAATTGATCTGTTTATGACTTTAATAAACACACTTGTCCTTCACCCTCAGTACAAGAGGACTAGATTGCAATTTTGGCACTGTTTACTCTCTCCTCTATTGGCCCCCAAAATTCATTTACTCTGTCCTTTTCTTCCTCCCTAGGGACTAACAGTTCCCAACTTCTCTCTCATGTACTTGACTTTTCTCTTAAAACCCCAGATGTATTTAAATGTTAGTATAGGCTACATTTCATTTATAGCAGGAAGCTTTGTTCAAATATCCATGAAAACATCTACTGATCACAAGTCTTGAAAAGAATTGTATTTAAAAAACCCCTTAGATTTAGTGTGGGTATTAAATCCAAATACCCTCCCTTTCAAATCATCCATGCTATGTCAGTGGCATTCCAGGGCACTTACAGTGCTTCAGATTTTGAAAACAGGTACATTCTGCACAGGACAGTCATTCAAGGCGTACAGATTATTTGCATGTTGCTAACACCTCTTTATTATCAATGTATCTATATTCTTTGACCCTTGACCATTCTATTTACCCTTTTCTGGTAAAGTGTTTTCTTCCAGTTCCTCTTAACATCACCAAGTCACAGTAACTTAATGTACATCTTCAAGTGCCATTTATAACTATTATCACTAGACATTTGCGAATACAGCAATGGCTGTGATCCATCTAGAGACAGAAAAACAGCCTACTGAGGTTTCTTCAGCAGTAGCAAGAACAGGTATGCCACAAACTCCACTGAAACACTGTTTTTAGTTACTTCCTTATCCTAGTTGTATCATCAAAACGTCCTTTCTGAAGCAAGAACAATTTATGTAGGCAGATACCACAGACACAATGTGGGTAAATTTTCTATGTCTTCTTGAGGGCACCATGACAATTCCACTTTAATCCGTAACAGAATAATGTGACCAGCTTGAAAGTAGATTTAAATATACACAGCAGAGACATTTTGAAGGTCAGGAAGGCCATCTGTTCTCTTACCTACAGTACAGCAAGGTACACACCTCTTGCTATGGGACAGTGTGCATATGAGGCTGGACAGGATTTTCCCATTTAATGAGGATCAAAATTCATATGAAAGTATTTCTCTACTTGTTGTGTTACACTCACCGTAAGGCTTCACAAGAGGCAACAATTCTGTGCAAACATTCCTTGTTCCAAAAAAGTTTGTCTTCAGTGTAACCTCTGCTTGGACTGCAAATGGAGTTGTGTCATGAACTTTTCGTAAGAGGTGGTAGTGAGGGAGGGAAAAATAAATTAAAAAAAATATCAGAATAGTACTACTGTTTTAAAGGAAGTTACCAAACCTCAGAAGTTTATCTTACTTATTTTTTCCTTTTATAACTAGCAAACAGGCATATGATCAATTAAAATATGATAAAAAAGTAACATCATTAAGACTCACATTCTTATTAATGAAAAGACTTATCTCTACAATATTACATTAATAATGCACTAATTATGTTTTCTATATGTTTAGGTTTTCTGCTTCTATATCCTGACTCTTATGTTGTCATGTCTTGGGTTCTTAGCTAGGGCTTGAAATAAGAGCAGTGCCAAACTGCAACAAACACTGTAAAAGTTTCTATAAAGAATGCAGGGATAAGATTTGGTGCAGTCTGAAAAAAGCAAACAAAAAACCCCAACTAACCCCAAAACTGACAGATACTCGTGTCATAAATCACCCCCTGAACTGACAGATCTGTGCTAAAACAAGGAGAAGAGGGGGAATTAGCAGCTAGGAAAGGGAGCTGATTGTAGGTAAGCATAAGCAGACCATGGAATTGCACTGTAAAGGTATGATTTCTTCAGACAGAATTGACAGCTTGCCACCAACAAAAGTGGGGTGGGATGTGCCGTCAGCTGACAATTCGGCTCAGCAATAAGCCATATGCTATACGTCCTCCACTTTGAGGGGGAAGTAAAAGTTAAAGTAACAGGACTCTTCCTCTTCTGCTACAGGCTCTCCCTCTGCAGTGATGAAAGCTACCTACATAGGTTAGGCAAGTCTTCACTTGTTTCCATAGCCTAGAACTACGTCAGCTCAAAAGAGAAGCAATAACAGGTCATTTAGTATCTAACGTAGTTGTGTTTTTATTGAAAAACATAGCTTTAATGACTCACTCATTTACACTCTCAAGCAATGGGCACCGATGGCATCAAGTTTTGCAAATTGCTTACATTTAAATCTGAGACATGAAGCCAGATCATGACCTATTGCAAGAGTTATGACAATGGGAGAAGAAACTAAAAACCTACACAATTCCAAATTCCTGCTTCCACACACACCTTGCAAGAGAGAAGCTTCCCTACACTCCAAAGCCCGTTTATTTGTCTAACAAGATATATTACTTGTAACATCTGATATATACACACTACACTCCCTTGATTTAGCAAGCATTACTAGAAGAAATGTTTTCACAGAAGCTCATCTGGAAGGCAACCCACAGGTACATAATAATTTCACACATGAACAGTTTTGCTGGACTAAGGACTTTTCTGGACTATTTGTAGTGCAGCACAAAACTAGAATAATAAATTTAATGGCAAATCTAATCTTTGACAGAGAGCCATAACACATAATACTACAATAAAGAAAGGAAAACATAAATTCTAGGATGGTAGCAGAAACCTGGTGAGGCAAGAAGTGAGATTAGGTGGAAATGCTAATCTCAGAAGCAAGAATTAAAATCCAAAATATGAGATAAACATCACAGCAATTTCTTACACAGGTGTTAAATCCTCTAGCCCCTGCATTAGACACTTGTACAACAACAGTTACAACTGGCTCCTTTATCACATTTCTTAATTGTATTACCTATTGCTGACTCATAATTAAGTTGTCATCTTGAAAAAAAAGTCTAAGATAAGCACCTGGAAGCAACTTCTGAATAGAAAAAAAATCTACAATGTAGTAAAGGAAGTAATAGAGATTCCACTGCTCATGCTACTTCAGCTAAGTATTGTTCAGTGATTTCACCATAATAAATCCAAGATCTCTCACAGATGACCTCTAGCAAATCTTGCTGCAATTTGAGTTTTTATTCCACCTGCTCAGGTACCCACCTTGAGGGAGGCTACAGCTGCTGCAGAGTCAGCAACAGGAACCACACACTGCACTTCAGTTGCTGCAGTTGCAGCCCAGTCTTGCTCAAACTCACTGTCACTAGTAGGTTGAGCTAAGGCCCTGATTACAAATTGAAGAAACACTGGTCTGAGCACCTGCAGACTTTATAAATTGTAAGTGTGGACAGAGATACAAGCTTTTAATGGTTGCTTCAAAGTTTTAACACATATCTTAAGCACATCCTGAAGCTCAGACAATTATATTGAGTTGCCTCCTATTAAACTGTTCTTGAACACAAGCAATTTTCCTGCAAAGTACCATGCAAAAATATATAGCGACTGGATTTCAGAACACTGTTGCTGCACTACCGCTTCACAAAAAGCTTCATCTTCAGCAGTAGGTGAGGTTTGATTCATACTACCTGACAGGCTTCCTTAACGCATGCTGTGAACAGAGGAGTCAGCACAACACTGTGCTTGAACAGTTACATATCCTAACTGGAGATCAGGCACAGAGATTAAAAGAAAAAACCCTCCACAAAACCAACAACCCAGAAAATATGAGAAGAACAAGTTTGTATGGCAGGGAAATGAATTAGCAGTCGTGCTTGTGATTTACTCTATTTGGAGCTAACATGATTTTCAACTTTTATAAACACTACAATGAAAATGCACTTTCTACCTTACAACTGCTGTCTTCCTCCCTTCCCTGCCTTCCTTTCCACGTGAAGATGAAAGGGTTAAATTCTTGCTCAGCAGAGCAAGATTTAGGTTAACTGTTCTATAGATAACTGAAGGGCATGAGAAGGTTAAAGGTAAGTAAAGATGACAAATTCACCCAGGGCCAAAGGTTCTTTTTTATCAACTGAAATCCCTGCAGAGGTAATGCATAGAACAACGCATGAGGCTTGCAGAAAAGAGAAAACACAAATCCCCGAGGAACATGGCTGATATTCACATAGATGATGGGCTCCCACGGGCCTGGTGAAACTCAGGGGCACTGAGGCAAGTAAACCCAACTCTGCTCACGTGCACTGTGTGCCTAAAATATTTTCATGCTCTGTATGTGATGCAAATGCAATACTCCAGGGAAGCAGCTTTACATGCACAGTTAGCTCAACAGATGCCATTTCACATTGCCCTCTTGTCATGCTTAAGAAGGTAGACAGCTTGCCCAGCCAAAGAAGCAGCATGTCATTGGCACATAAGTCCTGTATAAGAAAAGAATCCCCGATTTTTATCATCCTCCTCACAGCTTTGTAGCACATAGGACTATGCCAGACAGTCTGCTTCCTACCTTTGAAAGCAATCCCTGCGTTGTTAACCAGCACGTTCAGCCCCCCATATTTCTCCTTTAGGAAGTCACGTAGAGCTCTGATGCTCTGCAGATCATCAATATCCAATTGATGGAAGAGTGCATGCAGTCCTTCCTCCTGGAGCTTTGCCACTGCTTCCTGGCCACGGCTGGGGTCTCGGGCTGTCAGGTACACGTCCCCTGGGAACTGCTTGCACAGAGCCCGCACAATTGCAAAACCAATCCCTTTGTTGGACCCGGTCACCACAGCCACCTGCATGTTGGACATCGTCCTCTCTGTATGTATGCCAAAGTGCCAGTAACTGCAAACAGCAAATGAGATAATTTCACACTCTGATGGACAAAGACAGCTATCTGAAAATGGATAAAAGCATTTTTTCTTTAAAATCCTATTTAGAATTCCACTTTGAATTACATAGAACTACATGAAAGTGCATACTAACTGTAACTTAATAAAGTAGCATTAAGTATTTGCAGAGAGATATGTTTGGTGTTAATGTTTTGAATAAAATCCAAAGAGTGATTGGGTTAAAAAAAACCCCACAAATGACTAATCTCTTTAGTACTAAATTAACTTTTGATAGGATTAAGCTCTTCTGCAGAAACACTTTACTGGAATACCACTTTCTTCTTCTGAGGATATTCAACTGGTTCAGTTCAAGCACTGATGCAAAGATGGAAAAACTCAAGCTCAACAAAAAGGGGAGGAGCAGCTTGATCTTCAAGTGTCAACCAATTCTAGCTTTTTTAGAGGGAAACAGCAGACCATAGATTAACCACAATGCTGCTTCTGTTTAACACACCAGTCAGCTTTAGACACAAAACCTGCTTGTTGGATTTTTTTCCAGACATAGCATATTTAAGGGTGCGCTTCCCCCATAAGAGCAAATTTAACTGCCCCTACCCTTCCAAATTAGCTTGTAACTAACCACGAGCAGGCACCTAGCGAGGAAGAAAGCCTAAATTGCTCCTAAAGGCCTGCCCAGCTACTGACCGACTTCACCCGGGCCAAGAGCCACCCTTCCAGTTCATCACCGAGGCGCCACCCCGCTGCAAACCGGCACACGTTGCTACAACCACCCCAGGGCCAGTTCTCCTCCCTAATGGGGACGCGAAGCAAACCCGCGAGC